GTACCATTTTAGGTCGTGTCTTTACTTCATGCCTGGATTTGGCACCAGTTTATGCTAAATGTGGATGCACTTTAATGTCGCTTGAAGTTGTAATTACATATAATATTTAACGGCGTTTAATGAAATTTATCACTGAAAGCAGGATACTGACACACTGTTTTGGTATACTTGGAGGGGGGTTCTCTTCAAAAGGACTTTCAATTAGAAATTCAGTATGGCTACTCTGGTTTATTTCCGCTGTGGAATTTGGAATGGTGTTCATGTATTGCTCAAATCAGCCCAGTGGTGCACTGGTACAAACAGGGTTTGCTTTGTGGGACAGTCTTGATGTCATCTGTTATTGCATTTGCCCACAAGTGTCAACTTCGTTTACTGGTATTGTTGTCTGAGTGGATGGTGCACGTGTACATTAAGCTTGCCGAATGCTGGCAGTCTGCAGCATGCGTACACACAAGCTCTTTACTCAAGTGATGGACTGGGACAAGTTTCAAAAGGCTGCAGGATGTCTGAGATATCCTTGCCTCTTTCAAGTCATGCCTGCCTGTGTTGTGAAGACTTTATTCTATTTCATATTGTGATGCAGCGAAAGTGCATAGTCACCCACAGTTTAATTGTTCAATGCACTATTCAAATATTGTCATGACAATAATTGCTTCGGGGAAGCAACCCCAGAGGGCTAAGAAAAGAGGAGAATTTCTAAACTCAGGAAAGTACGAACAGCGATGGTTGTCAGTGCCTGTTCTACTTCCTCAGTTCAGAACTCTTTCCACTCATTTAATCTGACACTTTAGGAGGCAAGAATCCAGCACATTTGGGGCAACTTCTTTTCGTTTGCAGAAGAGATCAGAGCAAGGAGTGTAGCAGTCAGAAAATGTACATAGCCTAATGCTTGTGCATAACCTTGCCTGGACAAGCTTGTACATCACAAGAAACACGATGCTGTATTCAAATTAGTAAGCAAACCTTGAAAATATCCCCCTTACTCTTAATAGTAATTAACATGATGGGGCGTTTGGTCCAATCAAATGAAGCTTCCTTGACATACATGTAGGTACATCTTGAATGGAATTATGTGTTAATTTGTGTAGAAAAAAACCCATGTAATTAATGTGAACAGAGTGGTTGAGTTACTGTCCTGCCTATATTGTACATTGAATGAAAGGCACAGTGCTTTTTGGCTACCGTGGTTACGAGTCATCTGTGTCTCCCTGTCCTGTGATAGTGCCGGTGACTAAGCAAGTGAGTCGTTTTTGTTGTGTTGGTTGTGTTTCCTTTCAAATTGCCGTTCCACTATTTCCAGGGTAATTATTTTAATTGAAATGATTATTTATATATTATACACATGTACAACAGAAACCCCCCTGGATATAGTGGAATGGTCCTTGTCTCTGACGTGTTCACCTGTGGCATTATGGGGGATCTGTGTCCTGTGCAGTGCATATTGTACATTGCCTAGTTTTGTATAAAAAGTACGCTGTACCATACAAATCCTATTGAAACAAATTATGTATGTAAATTGTACAATGATGTGCAAAAAGCTACTAAAATGTACGACTGTTGGGATTTGAATAAGAAAAATCCCTGTTGTTACCCAAAAGTGATTATTTATCAGTGAAACAGGTCTATATTTGTAATGTCGAATGACTGTTCGTATTTTGGAACTGAAATAAAAAAGTCAGAAAAAATTCACAGTGTCCATATGCCACTGTTTGCTTTACCCCTTAATTGTAACAATGACATACATGTACATGTAGCAGGTTTGAATGCCTGGTGATGTAAGTGGTTGTGATTGGACAGTCGCCATGTGAGCGGCGCACCTGTGCTGGAGTTTAGCGGGGGGCGGCACCAAGGCTATCGCCCCGGCATGCACAAAGTATCCTCCATCCAGTGTGCTCACCACATTGCTACCACAAAGAATCAGCGATTTTCGAGTTAGCTGACTTTGAGTTATCGAGTGTTCCTTCGATTTGACCGAGTGCTGAAATGTAAAGACACTTTTGCAGCATCGTTTGAAAATAAAAATTAACCCAGATTGCGTCAGTTAAACTTTATGAAACCTCCTTGGCTGGTTCCCTGTTCAGTCACACACTGCTTGTGGCAAATCCTTGGTAGTGCAGCTCACACTCTGTGACGTGACACGAAAGTGACGAACAGCCATCAGTTTTGTGCAAGTGTGGCAAAATTCGTCCGGAGTAGGAAAACGGCAAAAGGCAACATTTTTTCCTTCAAACGAGGAAAAGGCGAGTTATCTGCAATTAGCAACCTAGCGGATGGTTTACACCGTAAGTAGTGAACACACCGGTGCAATTTCAGCTCATAAAATCGAGTGGATGTATAGTTATGCCCCCAGATTTCCTGGATAAAGTTTTTCGAGAGAAATCCCTTTGAAGCGGAACAGGGCCCAGTGTATGATGGAGGAGTATACATCAGGCCTTGTTTACCGTCTATCTTTCAATAGGCCTACGTCCATGATCATGTAGGTCTACGTAGGCCTGCATCATACATGACGACAATGCCGAGTTCACACACTTGCTACTCACTGTGTACTTTACTGAGTTCCAAAGCCTTTCCAATTACATCAATCATGTACTGTATGTAGGTCTGTTGACCTGATTTCCTTTTTAATTTTTTTTCTGAAATGCAAAATGAACGCTTTGAAAAGTACCCACAGTGAAGAAAGTAACTACTAACGTTACGCCTACTTTTCTGAAAGTAAGTGTGAACATGTATACATGTATATTTAGGAGTAATACTGGAAGTTATTAACTTTGAAGAACTTCTTGTGTGGGATTTTCAGAGATTTGTTCAATTGTGCCACAAATAGGGAACAGTCAGCCAAATCTGTGCCAATTTCTGGATGCTGTCACTTTTGAATTTCAGGTATTTAAATTTTATGACGCCAAAATTTTTTACAGGGGTGATCAGTGCCATGTATTTTAAAGGTTATAACATCGTTATTGACTGTAACTGAATGAATTCAAAGTTTTTCAGCAAAGAGGTTTGGCAGTGATGCATGAGGAAAGTCAAGGAAACGTCGAAGAGTGGCATGAGACTCAACTTCATTAGGGCCAGGCTAGTGGACTATACCTCCATATACATGGCCTTACTCCTAAACGAGAAGCAAGTGGAGGAAGGCTTAAACATCGGGGTAAAGCTCCCCGGCCAAGAAAAGTATCAGCCACATGCAGGTATTTCTCAATTGCCTTTTTGATTAATTCACCCAGCAGTTTATCGTATTCAATTTGCCCAAATGGTGAATTCCTGACCATCATGCCTGTTGGTGAATTATTTCTCATCTTGATACCATGATTTTGTTACAACTGTGATTTACTCAAGATCACTGGCAGTTAACATGTGCAACTCCAGACACCAGCAGTTGTGGTGATCTCTGAGAACGTTAATTACTGCACACCACATTAGGTGCGTTCAACTAGCATCTATCATGTGTTTGAATGAATCTATTTTTAACAGAAGAGTAGCTTGCCTTAGGCTTTTGTGTCTGTTAAAGTATGTAGTATACCCAGCACAGTCATTGCAAAAGTTTAGGACCACTCATACAAAATGCATCAACCTG